GTGTGTGTGTGTGTGTGTGTGTGTGTGTGTGTGTGTGTGTGTGTGTGTGTGTGTGTATCTTCTGCCTTGTTAATGTGCTAAAATGTAAATCGGTTCCTATTCAGACGTGTGTGTGAGGCAGTCTTTTTTATGCAAAGAGGAAGCAGGAGCTTTGCTGACAGATTGTGGTTATGCCTTTATTAATAAAGCCACACTCTGATTCCACCTCTCTGACTGCGTCTCTACGTCCTTCAGATCTACGCCACTCACCCCGGCGATTAACGCCAGCAAAACACACCTGCTGGGGCTTAGGACTCAATTTGGGGTCTAACTGATAGCATAAGCAGTGAGGTTTTATTCAGATGGGGCCTTTTCTTTCTCCTCGTTTCTTAAAGTTTTCAATTCAGATGTCCCTTCGTTCTGCCACAGACGCCTGCGTGTTACTCATCTTCCTCGACATGAAGCATCTTGTAGAGCCGGAGGTTTGCCTCCAACCCCCACTGGGAATTATTCAGTGATTTGTGGCTGCTTGTAGTAAGCAGAAACGGGCCACGTAAGCAATATGGAAATTGATTTTCATGACCGCCAGAGCCCATTATAAACACATACCAGGAGCTGCAGCCATCAACACCGCTTCCTCATGCCTTCAGATGCACATTAGTACAATTTTAGATATTTTGATGGAGTTTTAAAGGGTTTAATTTTATGGTTGAGCAGAGGACGAACGCATGACTGATGGGGGCTGAGTAATGTGGAGTTAAAATGCTATCACTGCCTTTCTGTGGCATTTATTATAATGTTTAAAGTGGCAATAAAACAGAAGAAAAATGAATTTTTTTGGGCTACAAATCTATCACTCCATACGTTCAGCGCCTCAAACACAAACACTGCTCTATAAATCTAACCTACCATCACCATAAAGGCCACTTCACCAGTCGGTAGTGCAAACTCACCATTAACCAATACACAATAATGGCTATTCGTCATATTTTGAAATGCAGAAAAGTGAACAAATCTGCTCCCCAGCCACGTTATCAGGCACGTCCGTTCAACTGCTTGTTAACACCAGTAGCTCACCAGCCAATCACACGGCAGCAACTTTCGGTGACAATGACTTGCTGAAGTTCAAATCTCGCCTCCCAGTTGGGAAGAAAGTGGATTTAAGGGACTTTGAACGCGGCGTGCTTGTTGCTACCAGACATGATGGTTTTAGTGGTTCAGAAACTGTTGATCCACTGAGATTTTCATGAACAAATGCCTCCCAGATACACACGGAATGGACTGAAAAGAAAAAAAAAATACCCAAAGAGCAGCAGATATGAGAGCAAAAATGGCTTGTTGATGTTGGAGAAGAATGGGCAATCTGATATGAGATGCTGTAAAGGCAAATGTAGTTCAAGTAACTCCTTATTACAATCAAGGTATGTAGAATGCAATCGCTGATGCTACAATTTGCACAGGTTTAATAGGAAAAGATCAGAAAAAAGTTTCCCAATCTTGATTTCAACACTCAGTGTAATTTATTAAATAAACACTCCACAGATCCAGTTGTGAGTGTGCATCTTCATGCACTGATTTTTAACAACCTCAGATGGAAACTCGAGGCCAGCTTCAACAATGCTGGCGCACTTCAGCATTTCCATCTCAGGGTGAAATCATTCCTCTAGTGGCTGAAGGGACTTGATTTAAAAAAGAAAAATCTCAAAGCTCAAAAATCATGCATTTCATGTTTGCATGTATCGCGTCAGACAACATGCTTCATATTTAAAAGAGATGGAAAAAGGACAAAAATCTGAGGAAAACGACTGCAGTTCAAACTGTGACAGAGAGATGGAAGACGCAATTCTGATGGTAGGAATGGGCATTTTGTTTAGTGAAAATGTTCCAATCTTGATAATAAATTAGATTTATCGTGACAACAATAACTTTCAAGTAATGTTTGAAAATCCCCAATAACTGACTGCTTAGTCAGAATTACTTACACTATTTTCTCCACCGTTGGTGCCATGACAGGATCAATACATTTGAAAGTATGATTAAATACATTTAGTGTGTGTTATTTTGTCATAAAAAAAATCCCAGTACTTTTACTGCTATCTGCAACTGGGGACCTGATGAAAGCCATTGTAAAAATGATTATGCTTTTTGTAAAAATCAACATTTGTGCACATGGATTTTTTGACTGCAGTGACATGCAGTTAAAGTCATAAAGCTTCCAGTAAAGAAAAACTGCAAAGGCGTTGAAGCGTCTTTTATCATCACTTTCATTGTTATCACAACAAATATTGGGATAAAACTTTACTGGTTTTGACCTATGTTAAAGTGATTCACCTGGAGACTTTTGAAATCTTTTCTATTAAAGCAATAACGAGGCATTATCCTGGACCGTAGGGAAAAAAGAAAGTGTCAAAAGACGAGTCAAAATAACTTTAATGATGAAGCAGTTCATTTTTCCAAGCTCTTGTTTTATGCACAGATTTTCACAAACGTCCAAATGAAAATTAGGTCCACGCTTTAATTATGCTGACAACATCCTGATACAAGAAGAAAATTATGAATTGGAGGACAATTTCATCTTCCAACAGCTACAAGGAGCTGCCATGGCTTCAGATCAACTGAAGACAGAAATACTGTCAAAACACAAACATGTTCTGTATTATAAATGAGCCCACTAGTGTAATCAAAGGAATTCAGTCAACTTTTTACATAAATAAACATCTTTTTTTTTTTTTCAATTCTGAGATGAAAACACAGCATTGACTATAGATGGTTGGCAGGAATGTGTGTGTGCATGTGAGCACATTTGTCATGGAGGAAAGAAGGAGGCACAGCTGTTGCTGTGGACTTGAGAAGGAGGCCTAAAAAAAAAAAAAATCCTGAGAACGTCTGGTGAGTTGCAAGTCTTTCCCATTACTCAATAACTTATTATTTGATAAAATACACGTTTGCTGAAATATTCAGTAGCTTTTGCTCCAACGGAGACAGACTGAAAGGTCCCCCAAAAATGACTAAAGAAAAAACAGACTTTTAATTTTTTTACCTGTTGCATTCATAACAAGCCGTCAGTAAAAGCGTTCTGCTCGTCAGGAGAAGCAGTCGTTCCAAATTTTGCGCACTATGATAGTTGCCAGGTAAAAATATCCACTCAACATGATTTAGATCCCTCACGGCCCCATCGCTGAGCCCTAAATGAGCGATGAATTCGCCCCATCTGTGGAGAGGAGGAGAAAATACGAGGACTCTGATGCATAAAAATAGAGTCGGAGTCTACCGGAGCACAAGACTGAGACTTAATGAGGGATGCAATCATCAATTATTCAAAACACTTAATCATGACCGCTGCACAGCGTTGCTGCGCGAAAACACAACATGCGCACACAAAACAAACACACACCATGTCTTATAAAGGCATGTGGAGAGCAAAGATTGTGGATTTTGAGCAACTGGAACAAAAAACACTTTCTTTACCTCTTTAACTCTGATTTTGTCACCCAATTCAAATAAACACAACCAGACTTTTAAAACACAATGCTCCTCTGTCATTTCAGTTTGTATAAACTTTCTTAATCAAAGGTAAAACATATCAATCAGGTGTAAAATTATGACCCCTTGCCTATCAGAGTTGTTTTTTTTTTTTTTATCCGTTTGCTGTCAAAATAGGCCGAACCCACTGAGATATGGAGTCCACTAGACTACTGGAGGTCTGATTCGGCATCTACTTCACCGTCTATGTGCTCACCAGGTAACAGCCACATGATGCAAACATAAACATGATTCATCAGAAAAGACCACATCGCACCAAGGCAGGCCAGCTCACAGCTTGGCCTGCCCAAGGAAAACGATAAACTTATACGGCGCACAGCTTTCTGTAACTAGTAGAAAATTAATGAATATTTACAATTCAAAGACATGATTAATCTTCTCCCTTGTTCTTCTCTTCCATTACTCCCCAGCCCCTCGTATCTGCTCCATACTTTGGTTTTTAAATGTTCTGCCTCAGATCGGGTTCTAAATTGCCTCTTCCTGCCATTGACACTTAACTGTGATTTATGTGACAATTTGAATGCAATTGGACAAAAAAATAAAGAAATAAATAAATATTTTCAGGCTGTTTCAAAAGTCCTAATTTATTATTCGGTATGTTATTAAATTGGCAACTCTCATTAAAATCTCAATCATGCAGAAAAATATCATTATTACAATTAGATTTTGGTTTCTATGCTAGAGTATTTAATAACATAACTTAAAATGCAGCTAAGTCTCACTGAAGAAAAACCCAGGCATACTTGCACAGAAACTCAGCTGCAAACAAAGGCACATAAATATATCTGTGTGTGTGTGTGTGTGTGTGTGTGTGTGTGTGTGTGTGTGTGTACTAGCAGTCAGAGATCCTACCGGTTACTACTATTAAAGATACGCAAATGTCTTTTTCTGAAGTTCGTGACATGAGAGATCAAAAACTAGTCCGCAGTTAAATCCACCAAACTTTAATAATAATTTGGGGATCAGACAGAAAAGATGCATGCAAGGATTCAGTCAGATTTGGTATTTGTTCTGATTACTCACAATGATATAAGCCACACCCTTAAGCTGCAAAACAACCTTCTTCTGGAACATTACCGCCACCCCTGACTGCATAACTAATGATTTTAGGTTACATTTAACAGTTTCAGTTCTATGAATCATACTTCCTAATAAGGAGTTGTTACTTCCAGTCCAGGTGGTGAAAACCTGAAACCTACATAATCTCTGTCTTTGGTCAGCCTGACCAGCGCAGGAAGGTGGCATATAACAGCCAGAGCCAGGCTCTGATACAGCATGAAACTATGATCTGATACTTCTACAGCAGATCATACTCAGTTAATTAATACAAGCTTCAATACCTGCTAACTAACATGTTGTAATAACAAAATAAAGGTGATCCCATACTGGAGTAAGACCAGGTATAATCCCACATCATGAAATTTCATGAGCAGCAGGTTTCTGTCAGACACCTGCTTTCAACATAAATACATGTTAACGGTGTCAGAACATGACTGATTGACAAAGTTCAAGCGGCAGCACCTGCGGACATCTGCTCAAGCTAAACAGATGTTTTCAGCAGCTGGCTTTACATCAGCTACAGTAGACGACAGCGAGGACTCAACCCTCAGCATAAAGTAATGCACTCAATAAGAGCAATAAACACAGAGAGAAGAAATACATGAGATTTAATAAATTACAGATAAAAGCTTTTACTCGTGTGACAAAGAAAAATGTAAACTAAGTCTGATGTGTCCACAAATGAAATGTGATCTAATCCGTCTCCTTATATAGTGCAGCTACTTGAAGTGTTATACTTTATACATTTGATTGGACTGCCAACACGGTTACTATGTCACACTGACATAATCCTACAAACTCAGTGAGCTTATAAGCTCGGCTTCAGTTTTCTCAAAATCCAAACTGGCAGGTTGTTGGAAATCACATTTGAAACATACTGTTATCAGAAATCAGGGTTTCCCTCAGTGCATCATAAGCCTGGCGGGCCACCAGGCTTGACCTGTGTCCCCACCAGGCCTACCATTGTTGGTTTATTAGGCTTCTTTTAATGACTGCTTTTTCTAAGACTTTATAGTTTGCCTGGGCAAAGGTATTAATATTAGTCTTCCAAAAATACATAACTATCAGATGACATTTTCAAATTTTCTGTCAACTTTAAACATTTTTTAACTCAAAAACATGGCAGGTGGCTGGATGAATGCCGTAGCGCCCTGAGCACCAGGCTTAGCAAGTTTTCTGGGGGAAACCCAGGAAATGATAAATTAAACACTGCGTCATAAAATAAAGCCACAAACAAAGTCTTTCCATATTGTTGGAAGTTGTGAAAAAAACGGATCCGATGTTAATATCCTGTTTGAATAACGCCATGAAATTTTTCCCAACAAAACCTGACAGATTTAATTTTTTTGTGGCTTACTAAGACTACAGTAGGTGATTGAATACTACTATTGATACTATTCAGCCTGTCCTCCTCACTATCCTGCCACTGATTTATTTCTCTCTCATATTTCTCTAATCTAAAGAATCCCTCACTCTATAGTTCCTGTTCTTAGTGAGGTTTCTTTTTTTTTCCTTTATTGTTCTGTCTTCAAATGATTCACCACTCACACAGCTATGCATCGATGAAAAAATGGGGAGAGATTTCTAACTCCTTCACTTCCTTTGGCACAGTTTATGTTATATTGTAAGTGTTTATATTTAACTGCTGAATTAAGACAAGGTTTACACAAATTAGTTTGTGTGTGCCTTTAAAAAACACGGAAAATTCAACACAAAAATGTAATCAACCCATAAGAAAAACAAAGCATCTTATTTTGTTCAACAGATCATTCTAGATTTTCTTCTGCTTGAGATTGTATCTTTTATTTATGGAGCGACTTAAGGTTTTCTTTTGGCTCAAATTGACTGTTAGAAAAACCCTTAAGCATCTGTCATATGTATCTCGGTATGCGCTACTAAATAACAGCTTTTAAAACCTTGCAGCTTTTCTGCCTCGGGGTGTTAGAGCTGTTTCAATCAAACTGCTTATTCACCCAAATGAAAAGACTCAGGAATTGCATGCAGTGCCTATTTGGAAAACCTTGCTGCTCAAAAGATTGTAGGACAGATTTTATTTAATTTTTTCGTTGTTGTCGTTTCTCCACAGGCTTTTAGTGGCAAAGAATAAGGCAGTAATCAAGAAGGGGAAGGATTTGATGGCAGCAGAGACGAGACTGAAGTGACTAAGAGGAGCTAAAGTTGCTTCAGGGCTAAATCTTGCACAGAGACAGACTAAAAACCTCTCGGCTCGCAAGCCGCCAGCGATCCCCAACCAAACACCCCACTGACAGCAAGTCGAACCGAGACACAATAAGTAGAAACTCTGTCCAACTGCGCTGCAAACCAGCACCCTGGGGGGAGACTCCCAAAAGGGGTACAAGAGCATCATCTACCCTGCTTTTCCCCATAATGTCTTCTGCCACAAGTACCCATCAGTCAGTCGCAGCTCCTGCTCCTTGCCGGTGTGCCTAACCACCCACACACCCTGTCACACAGCCGCTCGCTGTTCCAGTTAAAACGCAGACAGCCAAACAAAATCAATCTTTACTCAGTCTCCAGCTTTAATAAAGCCTGTTGTTTCTTATTGACTCTGACATGATCAGCTGCCACACAATTTCACATAGAGGTAAGCCCGGCTTCAAGTCCATCTCTGTGCCTGTCGCTAACACACACACACACACACACACACACACGCACACAGACAGCATCGGTAAGCAGCGAGAGCAAAAATCTGACTGAATCATCATGGGACTGTCAGACACACAATTTGCATGCTTTCAGTTTTTCTTTTTTTCGCTGTGAAACTCTTTGAACTTTCCACACACATATGCGATACACACAACATGGTAATGTGTAGAAATCTTGTGCCGCATGAAGAGTCTGAAAAACTTCCCGGAGGTGAAACTTTCTGCCAGTTCTTGAAATAAACCCTTTTAGCACCCTGCGGTCTGTTGGGCTGCTGGTCTGTCAGAACTCTCACACAGAGTGGCGGGGCTATTGGCATTCGCTTCCCTGTGGGGATCTGAGTCAATACAAACCTCTTAAAACTCCAAATGCTGTGTGCGTTTCTTCGTATGCGCCCGCTCGTGTGTGTTCCAGATGGGAAAGTAAGGGGAGGGTGGCTGCCACAATTCAATAGCAATTTTATCCATCTCTGGGTAGTTATCTACATGATATCGTGTTATTCTGAGAAGCATTAGTTAGAAATGCGTACACAGGTAGGAGCATAGCATTAGAGTGAAACAGCCTCGCAGGTGCACGCATGCGTGTGTGTGTGTGTGTGTGTGTGTGTGTGTGCTGAAGGTAATCATGGTGTGCTTAGGCAGAGTCCCACCCCGTCAGGGCCCAGCCTCTCAGCACCATCCATCATAGTGTGGCTGCTAATGATACCAATACATACAGCAGCACACAGCGACTGAAAACCAGGGGAGAGGTGTGTGGAAAGGGAAGAAAAAATGAGGAGCACAGAGGATGAGGGGGAGAAAGGTACAGCAGATAACTGGAAACAGGAGCTGAGAAAAATAAACTCCAGGATGTAAGGTTTAACATGTTTCAGTTTTTTTAGAACGATTACTTGCTGTGTCGTGCAACTAGAAATGCACCAAGAAAATAAAAATAAAAAATAAAAAT